TCCCGCAGTGTCTGGTGGAAACGAGGGTTCGTTTAAAAAAGATATATCAGTCGTGGTTGGCAGTGGTGCAAAACAAATTGGCCTAGCTCAGTCTCTGGAGGGCCCGGGCCCGTGTCCGCCACAATCTCCCGCGCTGCAGCAACATGGGCGCAATAAAGCTCAGCGGGGTGTCGTGCCGCCGCGGTCTCCATTTCCATTCTCTGGAGAGATATCGCCGAGGCGAGCCCCGCGGCACGCCAGGCTGCAGTTATATAGGCTTCCTTCCGCCCGTGGCGCCTCACCTCGCCTTCCCTCGCCGCTCCAGCTCATGTACGATTACCGACATGAGAAGGCGTGACAGAGGCGCCTATGCCGCCCGGCGATAGCGGCGACACGGGGTGATTGGGGTGCGGCAGAGCGGGTGAGGGTGTCAGCGTCGCCGTCCCTCTGCCCCCGCCGCGCATAACTAGACTACACACCCCTTTTCAAAACGTAATCGCCTTGAATAGGCTAACAGGTGAACGGTGCGAGGGCAGGCGACAGGGGAGAGGGAGGGGGGTGGGGTGGTGGAAAAGGTGGGGGTCGGCGGGCCGTGTGGGCGGGCGCGGGGTTGCTGTCAGTGTCAGTTACCCGCGGCCGTCCCCGCCGCGCGGAGTGTGGCTGAGCAGCGCCGCGGCGCCGACGGCATGGCCTCGCGAGGCGTGCGCCTCAGCGTGCGCGGGCCGCGGTGCGTCGGCTGGGCGTGACCTTGATGACCTCGTTGGGCGGCAGCCCCAACCCTCTGAGTGCAAGGGGCGCCCCGGGGCCTGGCCCTGTCCCCTGGCCCGCGTGGCAGCCCGCTCCGCCGCCGCCGACGTCCTCCTCCAGTCGGCAGGGCACGCCGCAGCTGCCGCAGCTCGGGCGTCGTCGGAGCTCGCTGCTGGCCGGCCTCGGCAGCCTCGGCAGCCACGGCCACCGCACCCACCAAGCCCTCGGTCTCGGCGTGGGCCTCGGCCTCGGCCTGGGGCCGGTCCTGCCCGGCGCGGACGCTGCGCCCGCCTTGTCGCGCAGGAGGAGCCTCGCCAAGCAGCGCCGCGACGAGTCGCCGCTGCAGCCCAACACCCCCGAGGAGCCCGCCGTCGGCGCGGGCGGGGGCCTCCACGCCGCGAGGAGCTCGGCGCTCTTCTCGCCGTACTCGCCGCTGCCCGCCATCGGGGCGCCCCCCGGCATGCGCAGCGAGGGGGCTGATCGTAAGGACGGCGCGGCCGCGCCCGCCTGCGCGCCCGTCAGGCTGCTCCGCGAGCGCACGTACGACGTCCTGGAGCCGCGCTTCGTCCGCGGCCCAGTCGGCCCCACAGACCCGACGGCACCGCCCGCGCCACCGCCCGCGTCCCCGGGCATGATCGAGGACGAGGAGCTGCCCACCTCGCCGCCGTGCATAGACGACGAGGACTTTGGCAGCGTCGAGCTTGCCGAAGACAACCTGCGGGGGGACGAGTCGTCGACGGCCACCTCGGTCGGCGAGGGGAGCATGGATTTGGTGCTGGCCGGGAATGCTTTAGGAACCCTGGACGAGCAAAGCTTCGGCAGAAGTGGGAGTCGTAGTCTCCACGCGCTGACCGAAGGATACAAGGGCAAACTTAAGAAATTTTGGTCAAAGTTTTAGATTTTAGCAGATATCCAGAAAACCGACGAAAAATAAAGGTATGCGTTTCGCCTACCTTCGGCGGCTTTGCCATACCACATACAAAAGTGTTCTCATTTGTTTCGTCATCGCCCATAATGTGTGAACCATGAGCCGGGCGTGGCAAGATGAGCCGCTTCACAGGCCACCCCACTGGCAGCGTCTGCAACCTGCGACCAGGGCCGCCGGCTCCACCCAGCTGCATGGCGGGTTGGCCTACCCCCTACGCGTTGCAGACGTCAGGCGTGCGTGAGCGTGGACGGGAGGGGCCTTGATTTCCCCCACCCCTTTTGCCTCTCTGGATCAGCCAAGTGATTTTTGCATAGATAAACCCATTATGTCTAGGAAAAATATACTAGTCAGGTTTGGCCTCAGCGCCCTTAAAATTTGCGGCTGTGTCAGTTGTCTTTTTGTTTAGGTTTTCATCTTAATTGTGAAGAAACTACATACAAATGCATACAAGCTCCATGTGAAAAATCTATTTGTCCGTGGCACTTTTATATGGTCAACTTCTCTGTCACCTTATGAGATCTGTGCCAATAAATAATGCCAAATATCAACCCACGGCTTTTCTTAACCCTAACACTGACTGAACAATTCGAAGAAGATAGATCGGGTAGATACTCGGAGTACACTCCGATTGCACCGCATCAAAAGACGAGTGCGACGAGTGCGTCCTGCCTTTGCGATCCTATTTAAAATCTGGCGGCTGGCTCGAAGAGTATTTGCAGGATGTTTTGTTAGTGGTCAAATAATGCTTATTCACCTATTCACACAAAGAGCAATCAAAATCAATAGCTCGCCGACACATCTGTCAAAAGTCGCTTATATTTGCGATATTTGGCTGGTTTACGTCAACAGTAGGAAATATGAAGACTCAGGGCTTTATCCTTTTTATTCTGTTTTTAAGTGTATACAAATGCTTTGCTGGTAAAGAGGAGGAGGAAGGTGTTAAATTTGCAAACAAATGCGAAGGTAAAGTAAGGTTGGGCTACCCTTGTTGGGAATCTTTCAAATTAAATAGACTTCATTGAAAGTACGCGGTGAAAGGAGCCTGTTTACAGACTAACGAGAACTATACTTATATTTTGTTTTTTCCTACCTTTATTTATTTGATTGCAGTGTGCAAAATATTAGCCATTGAACTGGAAAATAGACTGGAAGAAACTGGGAAGTCTCGAGATGTAATTGAAATTGGGTATTCTTTGGATGACACTGGGTTGAAAAAGAAGAAGACCAAGTATAAGAAATCGTAAGTTTTTGTATAAGAGAAATAAATTGAGGATTTCTTTGAGTGAACTGCACAGTGGAGATTTATTCCTGTTCGTAGGCCTTCTGATTTTTATTTTTTCCCTATTTTTTTAAAATCTTTTTTAGAGAACTACGGTTAGTAGAATCGTTGGACGGAATTTGTGAGAGAGTCCTACAGTATAACATTCATAAGGAAAGAACTGACAGTACCAGATTTTCTAAAGGGATGAGCCAGACTTTCCGTACACTACATGGTTTGGTGTAAGTAGAAAGGACATTAAATAATTTTTCTCTAACAAGATGTCATACTAGTTGTTCATAATTTAAATGTGCAAATTTTACAGAAACAAAGGAGTTAAAGTAGAGCTTGGAATTCCAGAAGAATTATGGGACAAACCATCAGTTGAAATCACAAATATGAAAACACAGGTAAGCTTGAATATGATAACTTAAGAACACTGCATTTGGCTTTTTAAAAAATATGTTTAACATTGATTTCTTGGTATTTTCAGTGTGAAATGCTCTTGGAAGAGCATGAGTCAGATATAGAGGAATGGTACTTTAAATCAGAGGGTGAAGTTCCTCTTAAGTCGTTTTTATGCTCACAGCTTGTTCTACGGGATGGCGATGACTCCTGCCTTTTAGAGGATGTAAAAGAAACTGAAAACCCAAAACCTGTGCAGTTAGAGGCTAACAGAAAGAAAAATGATGAACTGTAGAATTTTAACTATTAAAGAGAGAAAAGAAGTTTAAATTTCAATTTTTATTTAATTGTCCAATTTGATTTGAATTTTACTAGTTAACAGTGTAGACTTTCTGGTGGGCAAATTTATACAAAAAGCATTACAACAATCAGAATCTCTATTTTAATTTTAATGAAGCAAATTTGGTTGGTCGATTAGGATCTGGTTTGAACCATGGAACTTCCCGAATTTTTCCTCTGAGCTTTCGCAGACGTTTCATTTCATCTGTAAAGTCTGCATGTTCATCTCTGAACAAACCATAATTTCTAAGAAACACGAACAAGTAATGAGCTTCTGGTAGGCGATGATAATAGTCAATCATATCAGGGTCCTTGTGTAGAGGCAGTACTTTCAGTCTATCTGTAATCTGAAATTTAAGAGTAAAACAGATTAAGAAACAATCCCACAGACAATTCTACCCTAACCGGTCCCACTAAATTACCTTCAACATGGGGAACGATGATGGACGAGTGACCTCTCCAAATATCCGGTTGCTCAACAAGTTCATTTTTCGGGAGTACTCAGTACCGGCTTCAGCCAGCTTAAGATACTTTTTAACAGTTGCCATCCTGAAACTGAATAACAGTAACAGTAGCAACCCCAGTGAGGAATGGTAATTTTGACTATAACTTAACATTGACATTTGGATATATATTGACATGAGGAATGGGTAACTGTCTAAAATGATATGAACTACCCATTAGACGGTACGGCAGCACCAATTAAAAGAAGAATTAAGGAAATGAGCACCGGAAACAGATCTAAAATGAAGGCTAAACTAAGTGCAAATGAGCCTTGACTGTTACGAGGGTGTTACTAAAGGTCATTTACGTTAAACTGCACTGTCAAATGATCAAAATCAGCAAACTTAAGGCACTGGTTCCAGTCCAGACTTCCTTACATTTTCTCGAAATGCGCACACCCGGAACCATCTATTGCAACAAATGTAAAAATGGAACAATAAAGTTAAGATAGCATTATTATGCTCTAGAAACAGTAACTGGTGCCATTACTGAGGAATCACTTCTTCTAACCAGGACTTTAACCAAATAAAGCTTGACGGTGGGCACACAATATTCATAAACATTTTCGTTGGTATAAGAAATGTACTTTTCTAACAAAATATAAAAAATGACATTTATCGTTTTCCTTAATAATTTTACCTTTTGATCAGCAATGACACAAAATTATTTTTGATTTAATTACTTTCTTGATACATTACTAAAACGTTGCTCACTCGAAGCCGAAGCAGACGACGCTACAGGCCTTCTCGAAAAGTCCAACATTGCGTTATTAGTTTTTGGTTCTTTTTCAAGTTAGAAAGTCTGAAATGTTGCGTTGTTTGGTGCACTTTAATGTCACAGTTGAATTAGACTAGCTCAAATCAAAAGAATTTAAAATGCTGAACATCCGTCAAAACACAGGGAAATTTTATTTTCAATTTTTTCTTCGCTCTTCACTCTTCACTCCAGCTTCCCCCACTCCACTCCCACTCCCTAGTTTCTAGCAGGGCACGGAGTATCTTCTCCGTGGTTGGTTCAAGCAGCCAGCTTCATTGATTGGAAACTATTTTGAATGAACGACTGATTGATTGATTAATTGTTCTGCGTTTGTTATGTGTTTTTTCATGATTTGAAGGCAAATCCTTCTTTACTGTCTCGAAGTTTGCCAATTCAGCTTAGTGATAACGAAGAAGTAGGTTAGAATCGTCTGCTGTGTACACTCAGTTCTGCTGCTAACTGAGCTCTCTACCCCAGAAGATGGACCGAATTCATGTTTTGGAAGAAAAATTGAGGGAGAGTGCTTGTGTTGGCGATTTAGAAACACTACAAATCCTTTTGCAGAAGGGGGTAGATGTCAATGCCATGCATGACATCAATGGATGGTGAGTGTGTTGTGTATAGTAATGCAACAGTGAATTCACTATGTTTCTTGGGCTTAAAATTATTTCTTGTTTCTTTTGCCTTTTCTCTCATTAGGACAGCTTTGCACTGGGCAGCCAAACGTGGTCATCGAGATATTGTTGAAACATTACTGGCCCATGGAGCAGACCTTTCTCTCCGTAACAAGAACAAGGATACTGCTCTCTCTTTATGTTCTAACCCAGAAGTTCGAAAAATTTTGCACAAGGGAGTGGATGAAGACATGTCTGCTGAACTTCCAACTGAGTCTCGACTTCCTATCATCCCAAATTACTTAAGAAATCCACCACTAGCTGACCATGTAGACATCCAGGAGACCCGACGTTCAACTATAGTCCCAGAAAGGGTTGTGCCAACAACTAAACAAAATCCCCTTCCTGAAGGTATTGTTTAAAATCTAATGTTTATCAGAAACTTATTTTTATCTTGTTCCCTTTTTTTATCTGAAGGCTTTTTTTAAAATTGTTTCAGAGTTGGTTTTGAAAGTGAGAGTTGCAAATTGTGGCGACCCTGATTTTATTGAAGTGGAATTACCAATTGCTGATTTAACATACTCCAGACTTCTACGCCTCTGTACAGATGAACTTGATGTTAATCCTGCTCATGTTACGAGACTTAGAAAACTTCCAAATACTATTATTCGAAAGGACAAGGATGTTGCTCGTCTGATAAATGGACAGGAACTAGAACTTGTGGTACAGCCTGAAGGAACCACGAGGCTAGTACCCTGTAGTAATGGGTTGTTAAAGAAAATTCCTGGCTCAAATGCCAATGGATACCAGTCAATTTCTCTCAATAAAAATCAAACAATCCTGTACTAGTAGCATTTATATGATTTGTAAATAATACTCTTTAGGTAAATGGTATTGTCTTTATACCTTTTAATTTGCTCAAGGTACTGCAGTTACTGCTCAAGTAAACGTTCTTCATGCATAATTAATATAAGTTCTATAATGTTGCAGCATTAAATACCAGACTTTGGTTTGTGGAAATTTGCAAATGTGTAGATATAGTAAGCTGAAAAACTCTGTTCCAAATTTGGTCAGCAGCAGTTAATGAGGTATTTTACGAATAAGAAGAACAGGAGGAATCCCGGCCGACGTCTGCTCCCGGACCATAACAAAGCCA